GGTGGGGAGATGGGGAGGGGATAGGTCAGTCCAGGGAGGACGGACAGGTCAAGGGGGCGGGATGAGGTTAGTCGGTAGGAGATGGGGGTGCGGCTTGAGGTGGGAGGAGGGGATAGGTGGGAGGAAGAACAGGTTAGGGAGGCGGGGACAATCTGGGCTGGTTTTGGGATGCAGTAGGGGGAGGGGAGATTTTGAAGCTTGTGAAATCCACATTGATACCATTGGGCTGCAGGGTTCCCAAGCGGAATATGAGTTGCTGTTCCTGCAACCTTCAGGTGGCATTGATGTGGCACTGCAGGAGGCCCAGGATGGACATGTCATCCTCCATCAACACCCTTATCCGCTTAGCCGAACTCGTCCTTACCCTTAACAACTTCTCCTTCAACTCCTCCCACTTCCTACAGACAAAGGGGGTGGCCATGGGTACCCGCATGGGCCCAAGCTATGCCTGCCTCTTTGTAGGGTACGTGGAACAGTCCCTCTTCTGCAGCTACAATGGCCCCATCCCCCACCTCTTCCTCCGTTATATTGATGATTGTATTGGCGCTGCCTCGTGCTCCCACGAGGAGCTCGAACAGTTCATCCACTTTACTAACACTTTCACCCCAACCTTAAGTTCACCTGGATCATCTCCGACACCTCTCTCTCCTTCCTGGACCTCTCTGTTTCCATCTCTAGCAGCCACCTGAAAACTGATATTTACTTCAAGCCTACCGACTCCCACAGCTACCTAGAATACACCTCCTCTCACCCACCTTCTTGCAAGAATGCCATCCCCTAATCCCAATTCCTTTGCCTCCACTGCATCTGCTCCCGAGATGAGGCATTCCACTCCCGGACATCGCAGATATCCTCATTTTTCAAGGACCGCAATTTCTCCTCCACGATGGTCGAAAACGCCCTCGACCGCATCTCGCACGTTTCCCGCAACTCATCCCTCACACCCCTCCCTGCAATAACAACAAAGACAGAATCCCCCTCATCCTCACGTACCACTCCACCAACCTCCGGATCCAACGCATCATCCTCCACCATCTGCAATCTGATCCCACTACCGAGGACATTTTTCCCTCCCCACCCTTATCTGCCTTCCGGAGGGACCGCTCTCTCCGTGACTCCTTCGTCCACTCCACACTCCCCACCAGCCCCACCACTCCTGGCACTTTTCCCTGCAACCGCAGGAAGTGCTACATCTGCCCCTACACCTTGCCCCTCACCCCTAGCCCAGGACCCAAGAAAACATTCCAAATTAAACAGATGTTCACCTGCACATCTGCTAATGTGGTATATTGTATCCGCTGTTCCCGAGGTGGCCTCCTCTACACTGGGGAAACCAAGCAGAGGCTTGGAGACTGCTTTGTGGAACACCTACGCTCGGTTTGTGACAAACGATTGCACCTCCCAGTTGCGAACCACTTCAACTCCCCCTCCCACTCCTTGGACAACATGTCCATCCTGGGCATCCTAAAGTGCCACAATGATGCCACCCGAAGGTTGCAGGAACAGCACCTCATGTTTCACTTGGGAACCCTGCAGCCCAATGCTCAATGTGGACTTCACAAGCTTCAAAATCTCCCCACACCCGACATCATCCCAAAACCAGCCCAGCTCGTCCCCACCTCCTTGACCTGTCCGTCTTTTCTCCCACCTATCCGCTCCTCCCACCTCACTGACCAATCCCCAGCCCACTTCCCACCTGCTAGCGTCATCCCTGCCTCTTTGACCTGTCTGTCTTCCCTCAACTGACCAACTCCCATCCCAACTCCCTACCTGCACTCCCCTTTACTGGCTCCATCCCCGCCTCCTTGACCTGTCCATCTTCTCTCCACATATCTGCTCCTTTATCCAACTTCCACCTTCGTGCCCTCTCTCTCTATTTATTTCAGAGTCCCCTTCCCCTCCTCCATTTCTGAAGAAGGGTCCAGACCCAAAATGTCAGCTTTCCTGCTCCTCTGATGATGCCTGGCTTGCTGTGTTCATCCAGCTCCACACCTTGTTATCTCCGTTGATTCAGTTGCTGAGCCATTCCTTTGTTCCCTATTATCTACATTACCCCATTTCTGTCCGTAGAGGACCTACATATGTCTCCACCAATCGCTTTCTCTTCACGTACCTATAGAAACTCTTAGTATCAATCTTTATATTCCCTTCAAGCTTACTTTCGTATTGTATTTTCCCCTTCTTAATGAATCTCTTGGTCCTTCTTTGCAGAATTCTAAACTGCTCCTAATCCTGAGACAAATTATTTTTCTTGGCCAATCTGTATGCTTCTTCCTTGGATCGGATACTATCTCTAATTTCTCATTATCTTCTGATTTGTTCTCTGCCCCACTGTATAACTACAATTACAGAGCCTTTAGACGACAATGACCAGTGTTGACTTTCCCTTATTATTTCTTACTTCCAGCCATATGGGTTCTACATCTTCTGATCCAAGATCTTTTCTTGCTATTGTACTAATTCCATCTTGTACTAATAAGGCCACACCACCATTCTTTCCTTCCTGCCACCTCCTTCGAAAGGTCACATACCTCTGAATGTTCTGTTCCAAACTTCAATCCCCTTGTGACCATGTCACGATAATGGTTATTGCCCATTAACCTCCATTTGTGCAGTGAAATTATTCATTTTATCCCAAATACTACATTCATTCAAGTAAATAGTACCGACATGGATAACAACAAATGGATCCCTCCTCTCCAGCTTCTTATTCAGCCTAGATGAGATGTCCTTAACTCTGGCATGAAATAGGCAGCATAGCCTTTAATTCCCCAGTTGTAAATAACAGCATCTCCAAGATGAGGAGAATTTACTTTTACTCAGAGGGTTGTGAACCTTTGGAATTCTTATCAAGGAGGGCAATGGAAGCTTGATCATTGAATATGCTTAAGTTAGAGGCTGATAGATTTCTGATGTCCAGTGGTGTACAGGGATATGGGGTTGGGGTGGGTAAAAGAAACTGAAGTGTTTGATCAACCATGATGGTATTGAATGGTGGAGCAGTCTCAATGGGTTGAGTGGCCACCTAAGTTCCTATGTGTTTTGGGACTGATAACTGTTGGAGCCACTAGCCCCAAGTCAAACCATATTTGATGGTCTCTTTTGTCCTTTTTTGTCTCTTTGCTTTGTGTTGACTTGACTGGAATGTTTATACGATGCAAGGAGTATGGTATTCTATAACATCGTGAGTTTGCTTTTGTTTATTCACATGTGCACTACTGGCTGGCCAGACTGATTTTCCTGGTTGAAGGTGATGATAAGCTGCCACCTTGACTCACAGCAGTCCATGTGCTGTCAGTTGACCTACAGTGCCTTTTGGGAAGGAGTTCTGTGATTTTGACCCAAGGACATTGAAGGAATAGTAATGTATTTCCAAGTCAATATGGTGAATGGCTTGGAAGGGAACTTGCACGTGTTGATGTTCCCATGTGTCTGCTGCCCTTGTTCCTCTAGATCTATGAGGTCGTGAGTTTGGAAGGTGCTGTCTAAGGATCTTTGGTGAATTTCTGCAATGCATCTTGTAGGTAGAACACACTGCTGCTACTGACCGTAGTGGGGGGAGTGGATGCTTGTGGATGGGGTGCCAATCAAGTGGACTCCTTTGTCCTGAATGTCAGGCTTCTTGAGTGTTGTTGGAGCTGCACCCATCCAAGTAAGCGGGGAGTATTTGTGACTTGTAGATGGTGGACAGGATCTGGGGAGTCAGGAGGTGAATTATTTGCCACAGTATTCCCAACCTGCTCTTGTAGCCATTGTATTTATATGGCGAGTACAATTGAGTTTCTGGTTAATGGTAACCCCCAGGATGTTGATAGTGAGGGATTCAGTGATGGTAACACCATTGAATGTCAAGGGCTGGTGCTTATTTTGCCTCTTATTGGATATGGCCATTGCTTAGTTTTGTCTTGGTATTTCCTGGAAATGGCTTATAGTCATTGTCTAATTTTTTAAAATTCATATGTTAAAAAAATTAATCAAATTATCCAAAATCCCCATTTTACCTGACTGACAAACTCCGGTTCAAAAAAATGCTCACCAGGTTTCTTTACAGCAAGCATGTTGTTTGTAACCAATGGAAGAAGAAAAGAAACACAAATTGCTAACTTGGCTCTCTGTAGTTTAAAATTAGTCTCTTTTTACAGACAGACAAGACATGGATAATCGAGGGTGGAGAAATCATGGAAGCACAGTTCAGTTGTATCAGCCTGAATCTCAGGTGTTTATGAGTTGTTTCTGTCAGAATGTATTCATTCCTTTTAGCTCCTTACTGTTGTCACAAGGTTGTTTGCACCCCAGTGCACTTTTTCATTCTCTGGTTGAGAATTTATCTTTCAAATCTTTTGACATCTTGATTGGGTTTTGCATAAAAAGGTGAGTGAAAGAAAACAAGCTGTTTCTGGAGACCTTCTGCAAAGGCTAGAGCCCTGGATGTTTGTGATGCTTTCTCGAGAAGTTTTCCACTGCACTGGCTACATTCAAGCTGTGGTCACCTGGTCAGGAGCCAATCAAAACATTATTGTCCCTTAGTTAATAACCCATTGGCTCCATGGTTTTGCTTTTATTCTCACTACTCCAAGAAAAACACAAAATTGTATGATTCACAAAGTATTCCAATAAACAGGACTTTTTTTAAAATTGCAGCTACTTCTTTGCACAGCCTCCTTGGTTTTAGTTGGGCCTTCCTTTGTTAGTATATAAAAGAAATTTTAAAAATGTGGTCTTTACCAAGATATGATTTTGCATCCATATGTTCCAGGTCTGTGTGTGTAAATACGAGTTATTTTCTGGGAAGCCAAGCCATTGCTGAAGGTGTTTGAGGTACAATTGGATTGGAGCAGAGTGTGCACTGTATGGGAAGTCTGGTGTGGCACTTTAAGCAAGGCTCATGGCATAGGTGTATTGCGAATATGATCCGGGGTTTTCTCCTATCCCATTTTTTCCCAAGTATCCAATAATAAAATGTCACCCTGGGAATCATTGATGTTGGTTTCATTCTATAGGAGTGTGTTGCAGATCTAGTGACAGCTGATGACTCTGGGGTCTTGTGTATCTGGAAATCGGGGAAAGATTTTAAATTAATGCACAAGATTGCAGCTTATGGGTAAGTGGTGTCTTTTTCTTGTCTCACTCCAGCAGTCAGTGTACAAACTAATGGAGGAACACAAAGTTATTTGATAATTTGATTTGATTTATTTAGTGTCACATGTATTTTGTCACAAAATACAGTTAAAAGTGTTATATAGTGTTGCCACTTTCTGGTGCTGTCTCAAAACACAGAAAAAATAAACCAAAACATAGAATACGAAGGCAGAAAAATAAAGAAAAAGTCCTTCTTGTTAAGTGCTCCACCATGGGTCATGAGCCTGGTGATAAGGCACAAGTCCCCTTTGCCTTGCCATTGTCACTGGAACAAAAGTTGCCACTCTTTGGTGCCATCTCGCCGCCACCGAGGTACTTGCCACTATGCGTCCTCACTGGACATCACCAGTGCAGATGCCATCGATGCTGCTGGGGACTGCACTAGCCCAAACTCGACCCCACCGCCGCCATGAGTCCGCTTCAGGCCCACCTTGCCGATGCAGCAGCTGCCAATGCCACTGGTACTGGGCCTAAAGCTGCCTCTGCCTCCATGAATCTGTGCTGGATGCAGACAATGCGAGGAACCCACACTCCCCTCCACTGCAACAGCCATGAGTCTGCACTGAGCTCGTGGATTCTGAGAGTTGCTGCGTTTGGGGCAGCACAGTGGTTCAGTGGATAGCACTGCTGCCTCACAATGCCAGAGACCTGGGTTCAGTCTAACTGTGTGGAGTTTGTATATTTTCTGTGTGTCTGCGTGGGTTTCCTCCGGGTGCTCCAGCTTCCTCCCACAGTCCGAGGATGTGCAGGTTGGGTGGATTGGCCATGCTAAATTGACTGTAGTGTGCAAGGATGTGTAGGTTAGGTGGATTAGCCATGGGAAATGCAGGGTAACAGGGATAGGGTAGGGGGTATGAGTCTGGGTGGAATGCTGTTCGGAGAGTCAGTGCAGACTTATTGCCCATCCCTAATTGCCATGAAAGCAGTTAAGAGTCAATCACATCGCAGGAGATTGTGGCAAACGACTGAACCATCAGCACTAACTAGCCAATTATTGTCTGTTCCCAGAGGGCCTTGCTCATCTGTGAAGATGTGGAGCGGGATCATTGCAGCTGGATATGGGAGTGGCCAGATCCTGATTTATGATGCAGCAACTGGTACAGTGCATGTGGAGGTGAATGGTCATGCGCGCTGGATCTGTGCTCTTGACATGGCATCTGAAAGTGGCAAGGTATCCATAAACTTCTTTGGAGCTCTGCTTGTTCTGCATGACACTGACAGGCTGCATGCTTTCTCTCACTGCTACGTGGTTACCTTAAGGAGTTAGATTATTTATATTGACCTTTTCATCCTGCTCTGCAGTTCAAGTAGATTATTGCTAATTACTGCACTACTCTCGATAACTTATTACTCCATTTCCGATCAAGAATTTATCTACCGCCGCCTTAAAGTGATTCAGACTCTGCTTGTACCATCTTTTGTGAAAGAGAGTACCAAAGACTCATGACCCTCTATGAGCAGTTTTGCTTATCTCTGTTTTAAATGAATGACTGCTTATATTTAAATGTGATTCCCTATTTCTAGCTTTTCCCATAAGAAGACATCTCCTTTCTACATCCATCCTGTCAAGGCTCCTCAGAATCTTAAATTAATCGATCAAGGTCCTTTTCTAAACTTTTCTACTATGGTAACTGTACTTTTGCTGACTGTCCTGCTGTTTTCTAGGAAAAATATTCTTTTTGCTTCAGGTCTCCTCTGAATTGCCCAAAGATATTCTGGCTCTGGGTTTACTAATCTACATTTAATCCTTTTTAAGCTCATATCCCTCAATGTTCATTCCATTTATCATAAACCACTGCAGTATAAACAATAACAAAAACAGAAATTGCTGGAAAAACTCAGCAGGTTCAGTTCTGAAGAAGGGTCACAGGACTTGAAAAGTTAACTCTGCTTTCTCTCCAAAGATACTGCCACACCTGCTGATTTCTGATTTTCAGCATCCGTAGTTCTTTAGATTTACAGTACTGAAAAAACTCCATCTTCCATGAACGCTCTGGGACCCCTTATCCTCTGACACATACTGAATTAGTATTACAGAAGGCCTATCTGACCAATTTTTAAAAAAATCCTTAAGTATAGTAACCAGTGCTGTATTTTAAAGCCAAGTTCTAAAAAAAATCAGATCCCTTTCATTACACTGTTTTACATATTCTGAAGTGGCTGACTCTTAACTGCTCTCTTGGCAATTAGGGATGGGCAATAAATGCTGGCCTAGTCAGCGATGCCCTCTTTTTTTTATTCATTCATGGGATCAGGGCATTGCTGGCCAGGCAGCATTTATTGCCCTAAATGCCTGGAGGGCAGTTCAGAGTTAACCACATTGTTGTGGGTCTGGAGTCACATGTGGGCCAGACCAGGTAAGGATGACAGTTTCCTTCCCTACAGGCCATCAGTGAAACTGATAGGCTCTTAATTCCAGATATTTACTGAATTCAAATTCCACCATCTGCCGTGGCGGTATTCAAACCCAGATCCCCAGAACATTATCTGGGTCTCTGGATTAACAGTCCAGTGATAATACTACTAGGCATACTCCTCCCCCTCCTCATCCCATGAATGAATAAGAAAGAATTACCTTATATGTCTGCTACTGCACCTCTGTTGATGTAATCTGTAACGTAATTTGCCAGTTCACTTCACCATGTGGTAACATCTCTGTTTCCAAATAGCTGCTGTCAGGAGCAGAGGATTCTTTTCTCAGGATTTGGAGAATCTATCGGAACTCTGAGTCTAACACCATTGAGGTAAGTAGTGTTCGTAAGTGCACCATTAAACAAAACCAAACAATAGATTTATCCAGGTTTAAAATTAGTGTCCATTCAGAGGCTCCGCACAGCTCAAAAACGCTATGTTGCAGACAGCCCAACCGAGTTTACTGAACTCCTTTAGTTTTCAGGGAAGATCGCTGTCTTCTCCAATTGATATAACACGTAAAGCAGTTCTTGAGCCTCCTGTGGCAGGACCACTGACAGTAACCCCAGACTCTTGCCAATATTTCTCCACTCTACCCTCCCCAGCTCCTTGATTAGGTCCGTCGATCTGTCCTTTTGGCCTCCTCAGTACCAAAATATTTTGTGGCCCCTTTTAGCTCAATGAAGAACTAACATTGAGAATGGGAGAAGGGGTTAGTGCTGGAGTGAAGTGGGTGGAAAGAAGAGGAGGAGTGTGTGGTCCCACCTCACTGAGAGAAAGAACTTGTGTGTACACCATCAATCTAGCAGTTCTTCCCTTTAGCATACGATTTTTCCCTGTGGAAACTGGTAAGAGCTTTGTGCACTTGCCAAAAAACCATGGTGGTATTATTGCTAGACATTGTAAACCAGTGACTGAGGAAATGCTTGGGGTACCAAGGTTCAAATCCCACCACAGCAGCTATTGGGACCGGCCTACTCAGCTCCTGACCTCATTACAGCCTTGCTTCAAACTTGGACAAAAGTGCTGAATGCAGGAGTGAGTTGAGAGTGACAGCTCTTTACATCAAGGCTGCATTCGACCAAGTGTGGCATCCAGGAGCCCGCGCAAAATTGGAATCAATGGGAGTTGGGGGAAATCTCTCTGCTCCAACAACACTCGAAGCTTGATACCATCCAGGACAAAGTAGCCCGCTTGATTGGCACCACATCCACAAGCATCCACGCTCTCCACCACCGACACTCAGTAGCAACATTGGGTACCATCTACAAGATGCACTGGAGAAATTTGTCAAACATCCTTAGACTGCATCTTCCAAACCAGCGACCAACTTCCATCTAGAAGGATAAGGCCAGCAGATATACCAGAATGTCATCCAAGTACGCCTCCAAGCCCCTCCCGACTTGGAAATATATCACTGTTCCTTCAGTGTCGCTGTGTCAAAACCTTGGAATTCTTTTCTTCAGGGCATTGTCGGTCTACCTACAGCACGCGAACTGCAGCGGTTCAAGAAGGCAGCTCACAACCACCTTCTCAAGGGCAACTGGGGACAACCAGAAGTCACAAATGAACAAAAAAAAACACTCAGGGAGGTGATGGTGATGTCTGGGATATTGGCTTCAAGATACAATATATGTCAGGCTGTTGCTGAATGTATCTGAGATAGCTCTCTCAATTTTAGTGCTAGCCCCTAAATGTCAGGAAGGAGGATTTTGCAGGGTCAACAGGGCTGTTTGTCATTGTTGCTTCTGGTGCCTTGTCAGCCGCCCAGTTTAATTCTTAATTTTCAGATTTTTTAACATCGTGTAGATGGTACCCGCTGCTGCTACTGAGCAGCTGTGGTGGAGGGAATGCGGATGAAGAGCCAATCAAGTCGGCTTACCTGGATGGGTACAGGGGCTGTACCCATCCAGGTAAGTGGAGTATTCCGTCACATTCCTGACTTGTGCCTTGTAAAGTTCTGTTCCACCAACAACACAGACCCAGCAGAGATAGCAGCACAATGACACAGTAAGGAGGGACCTGCCGTGAGAATCATCTCATTTCATCAAGTCAAACATGGACAAGGAAACCTTCTGCTCATCATCCTGCCCATGTCCAAATCTCAGCTGATGACTCTGTGCCTCCTCCATTTTGAACTTCACTTCAAGGAAGAACTGACAGGAGCATAGAATTAACAGTGGGTGCAAGATTTCAAAGTCCATCATCAAACATTGCTTGGCAACATCACCTCTGACCAAACTGATCAAATCCTAAAGGACATTGTTGCTAGCTTGGGTCTGCTGCAGGTGGTGAGGGAACCAACAAGTGGGAAAAACATACTTGATAAAAACCGGAAGAACTGCGGATGCTGTAAATCAGAAACAAAAACAGAAGTTCCTGTGAAAGCTCAGCAGGTCTGGCAGCATCTGTGAAGAAAAAAAATCAGAGTTAATGTTTCAGGTCTGGTGACCCTTCCTCAGAACATTAACTCTGATTTTTTTCTTCACGGATGCTACCAGACCTGCTGAGCTGTTCCAGCAACTTCTGTTTTTTGTTTCTGAAAAACATATTTGAGCTCATCCTTTCCATTGATTTGTCTCTGACAGTATCTGTAGGAGTGGCCATTGTACAGTCTTATGGAGACAGTCCCATCTTCACCTTGAGGATGGTCTCCATCATGTTGTATGGCACTATCACCAAACTAAATGAAATGGGCTTCAAACAGATCTGGCAACTCAAGGAACACAGCAGGTCAGGCAGCATCAGAGAAGCAGGAAATTTGGATTTACACCCTTCTTCAGGACCTGCAGTCCTTGCTATCTTCTAGCAACTCAAGGCTGGGCATCCAGGAAATGCTGTGGGCCATTAGCAGCAGTTGAATTGTACTCAGATGTAATCTGCAAAGACAGGTAATCAACCCTGGTGTGAGGAGGAGTGCAAGACAGCATGCCAGAGGAGCATCAGATCTACCTAAAGGTGAGGTCAATCTGAAGCTACATCACAGGACTACATGAATGCTAAACAACAAAAGCAGAAAGCAATAGAGCTGAGCACTCCCATAGCCAACGGATAAGCTCTGCAGTCCTGCCACATCCAGTTGTAAACTACTCATTAGAGGAAGCTCCACAATATCCTCATTCTCATTGGTGAGGTGCACAATGCATCAGTGCAAAAGATCATTTTAAAGCATTTGCAAAAATCTTCAACCAAACATGCAGAGTGGATGATCCATCTCTGCCTCTCCCAGTGATCTCAGCATCACAGATCTCCAGCCAATTCGATTCATTCCACGTGATATCAAAAACAGTTGCAAGCACTGAGTACTGCAAAAGCTAGCCTTGAGATCAAAGTTGCAGTTGAACAATTGCGGCACTAAAATTGTCCTGGCAAAGCCAGTGTCGATGGGAATCAAGGGAAAACTCTCTGCTGATTGGAGTCATACCTGGCACAAAGAACGATGATAGAGATCATCCAGCTCAGCTCCAGGACACCTTTGTGGGAGTTCCTTGGGGTCATATTATAGACCCAACCATCTTCAGCTGCTTCATCAATGATCTTCCCTCCATCATAAGATCACAAGGGGGTATGTTCTCTGATTATTGCACAATATTCAGCGCTATTTACAATTCCTGAGATTTGGAAGTAGTCCATGTCCAAATACAGCAAGACCTGGATGATATCCAGGCTTGGGCTGACAAGTGGAAAGTAATATTCACATCTCCAACAAGAGACAATGTAACTGTTCCCCCTCGACATTCAATGGTGTTCCCATCGCTGAATCTCCCGCTATCAACAGTCTGGGGGTTGCCATTACCCAGAAATTGAACTGGACTCATCAGATAAATACTGTGGAAGAGCAGATCAGAAGCAAGGAATCATGGGCTTAGTGCAGGAAAGTGTAGGCAGCATGTATTTTTGGTGGTACAGAGTTGAGGGGCCAAATGATCTAGAACATAGAACAGTTCAGCACAGTACAGGCCCTTCGGCCCATGATGTTGTGCTGACCTATCATCCTACTCTAAGATGAAACTACTCTGCAAGTCACCTCTCATTCTTCTGTGACTGAGGGCCATATGTAACGCTGAGGCCTGGTTTCTGATTGAGGGCCATGTGTAACACTGAGGCCTGGTCTGTGCTTGAGGGCTATCTGTAACACTGAGGCCGGGTGTGTGACTGAGGGTCATCTATGACTGAGAACTATGTGTAACACTGAGGCCTGGTCTGTGATTGAGGGCCATGTGTAACACTGAGGCCTGGTCTGTGACTGAGGGCTATCTGTAACACTGAGACCTGGTTGTGACTAAGGGCTATGTGTAACACTGAGGCCTGGTCTGTGATTGAGGGTCATCTGTAACACTGAGACCTGGTCTGTGACTGAAGGCGATGTGTAACACTGAGGCCTGGTCTGTGATTGAGGGCCATGTGTAACACTGAGGCTTGGTCTGTGACTGAGGGCTATTTGTAACACTGAGGCCTGGTGTGTGATTGAGGGCTATCTGTAACACTGAGACCTGGTCTGTGACTGAGGGCTATCTGTAACACTGAGGCCTGGTCTGTGATTGAAGGCTATCTGTAACATTGAGGATTGGTCTGTGACTGAGGGCTATCTGTAACACTGAGACCTGGTCTGTGACTGAGGACTATGTGTAACACTGAGGCCTGGTCTGTGATTGAGGGCTATGTGTAACACTGAGGCCTGGTCTGTGACTGAGGGCCATGTGTAACACTGAGGCCTGGTCTGTGACTGAGTGCCATCTGTAACAGAGGTGCTGGCTGTATCGAGGCTTGATGTAACAAGGATAAAGCAGGGTGACAAACTATTTGAGACATCCATCGAGTACAAAGGCAAGTTTAGGTTGCTGAGCAAGAAATGTTCTCTCCAGCTTGTGAGCCAAGAATGTAACAGGATATCTTTCTTTGTCAGGTGGAGCATGAGCACACAGAATGCGTAACTGACATTCAGATATGTGGAGCCAAGTTCTGTGATCCTGAGGGAAACGCCTTTGCAGTGACAGGATATGACCTGAGTGAGATTATTCGTTATGTCCGGGTCTAAGTCTGAAGGATGTGATCGTGCGAAAGACCAGGTGCTGGAGACAATGTCAGGAAAGCACAGGCTTTCAGAATGTGGGCAATTTAACAGGGGCTATCCATCACAGAATGTCATGTGATTAACCTCTCATATCTGCCTCTCCAAAGACATGCAGGTTAGGTGGATTAGCCATGCTAAATTGCTCCGTAGTATCCAGGGATGTGCAGGCTAGGTGGATCAGCCATGGGAAATGTAGGGGGATAGGGTAGGGGGTTGGGTCTGGATGAGGTGCTCTTTGGAGTGTAGGTGTGGATTCGATAGGCCAAATGGCCTACTTCCACCCTGCAGGGATTCTATATTTTGATTTCCATAGCCACGGATTCTGTAACTTACAAAGTCTTTCTTTTTGTTCCTTACTTTTTGCCTCCCCACTGCAGAGAGATAATTTCTGTATAGTCTTACCCCATTTGAGGCAGAAACTCATTGTGAATGATCACTGACTTTGTTGTTACTAAATAGCTAATCTGGTAGCTATGATGATTATGTCACAAGACTAGTAATCCCACAGACTGAAAGGAGAACAGACAAATTAAAGTTGCACCACAGCAGTTTAGAACTTAAATAAAAAGCTCGTCTCACAACTGTTTCCATGAAACTACGATTGTGATTTGAAAGAAATGATTTACTAAATGTCTTTTGGGGAGGACATTTTTGCCATCCTTACTTTCTCTGGCTGATATGTCCACTGCAGATCCACATCAAATTACTCTTAACTGTTCTCAGAAATGACCCAAAGTATATCAGAACCATTAGCAGCGGATCAAATTCTGGTCACTTCCACCCTGGCAGAGTGGATGAGTAATACCACCCTCGTCAGTAGTGGCACCCACATCTTGAGAGTTAATTAGAAAACAAAAGGGAAGGTTCTGTTGAAAGTGCTCTGTAATTGAATTATAAAATGTTTTTCATATTCGGTTGTAGATATTTAGGTGTTTATTAAATAAAACATTTGCTCATATGGATATGAATAACTCCGGGCAAGCTTGTATTCGGACTGTTCAGCTGACAATGAGTATATGTAAGTTATCTGCTTTTAATAAATGTGACCAGTCCTGCCATAAGCATTACCAATCGTGTGGATTTTCCAGCTTGTTTTAAAATGTAAAGTTTGTACTGTGCACTGCACCAGTGGGATGGTTTACTTATGTCCATGCCAAATGAGCCCTATCATTGTAGGACTTGCAGCAACTGTTTCTGATAACTACAGTCAAATAAAATTAGTTATTGGGTCACAACTCCAAAATCTCTTTGTTTCTATGCCTTACCTCGACTTGCATATTAAAATAAGTGAACTACCCAGTCTTCCTACCAACATGTAATATGACACATCAGTCTGTATTGAACTCCATTTGGCAATTACTTGTCCATTCTGCAAATGCATTAAACTTATCTAATCTGTTGCAGTCCTTCGCAGTATCTCATGCACAATTTATCATCAGATTTTGAAATTGTATTTTTGATTCCAAAGTCCAAACCATTAATATAAATTGTGACCATCGGTGGGTCCAGAATTGAGCCTCCTGGAAGACCATTGCTGTTCTTTCTCCCACTTTAATACCTACTCTTTACTCCCATTCACTATTTTCTGCATTGAAGGCAGCTAGTAATCTATTCTGCCATGTTTACTGACCTTATTCATTAGTGTATTATGGGGCTCTTTATCAGAAGTCTTTTGAAAATGCAGATCAATCACATTGACTGTATTATCATTGTCTGCTTTTTCTGTTACCATCCTGACTATTCTAGATGTTCTACTGTTCTCTCCTTTAGTAGGAATTTCATTAATTTCCTCACTGGCAGGCAGACATACCAGAGGTAAGGCACAATGCTATACAGTCAAGAGGGAGGGACCTTGGGAGCCCTTAACGTTGCCTCCATACCCAATGAAGTCTCTTGGTATCGTTAAATATGGATCAGAACATCCCTTTCCTGAATACCATCTACTGCCATTTCCATTGCCATCTACATCATTTGCAAGAGTACTAAGGTTGGAAAAGGCACTAAATACAGTGTATTTAGTGTAAATCGCTAAAAGTAAGTAGAAGGAAAATAGACTGTGCTGGCCGAGAACTGAACAACAGATTTTTGTCAAACTAGCAGCGAGAGAACCAACTAGATGGAAAAATCTGCTTTTTCAACTTTCATTCATGGGATGTAGGAATCCCAATTTAAGCCAGCATTTATTGTCCATCCTTACCTGCCCTGGAATTGAGTGACTTTGAACCATGGAATCATACAAATCATAAGAGGCCCCTTGGCACATCAAGTCTGTACCACCAAAACCTCACTAAATCTACACTAGACCCAATTTCCAGCACCAGGTCCATTGCCTTTAATGTCAGTACAGTGTGGAGCTGGAGGAACACAGCAGGTCGGGCAGCGTCAGAGGAACAAGAAAGTTGACATTTCAGGTCAGGACCCTTTCTGTTGACTTTCCTGTTCCTGTGATGCTGCCTGGCCTGATGTGTTCCTCCAGCTCCACACTGTATCGATTCTGACTTCTAGCATCTGCAGTTCTTGCTGTCTCCATAGCCTTTAATGTTATGCCAGTTAAATACCCTCTAAACCTCCTGACTTTCACCTCAAAATTATGTCCTTTTGATATTGTTGCAAAGTTGGGTAGAGTGCTTGTGGATTGGGAGGCAGGAAGTTAGAATTTGGTTTGTAAAATATTAGGGGGAAAGCAGTATGTGGTCCCTTTAAAAGATGATGAGCTTTTGCTATGCTTAGAGATTCACAAAGGATGTCTGTGGGCAGCAGCTTGTGGGTTTGCAGGTGCACAGAGAGCACTCATATTGAAATACTTGTATCAAAAGGCCAAACAGTTAGCAGGCCAATCTGCAGTTTTACCAAGGCAACAAGGTTTGAAATTAGCCAACAATTTGAACCAGGCACTGAGACACCAAAAACCAATTAAATTTAAATCTGATGGTTTTGACAACATAGGACAATCCTAGTGTAAGAAATCAATATAACATCAACGGTATAAAAGAAGAGGGCAGTTTGACAAAGGAGACCTAACTGCCATCTGCCAAAGTTAATAGCTCTCAGCTCTCAAGAGAAAATCACTGGTTCTCACAGACTCCTCTAGATCTTAGAGAAAGCACCATCTAAAAAAATCAAAGATAGCAACGGCACCAACTAGTTAATATTCCTGACAGAAGAATCAACGGAGAAGGCACAGAGCATTCCGGAAGATTCATAATCTGGCTGTAATTTTGACAGACTAAATTCTATTTTTTTAAATTTTATTTTATGTAAGTGGGACTTGCATTTATTGGAACAGCATACCATTGTTTTATTTGGGGAATAGTTAGTAGTTAGAAGGCGTTTATTTGGTTTGTTAATAGCTTAGTTAATTTGTTCACTGTTAGAGTTAGGTAAATAAATTGCTACTTGTTGATTGTAAAGTGAGTGTCAGGGATTTGTTGTAATTAACCACTAGAAGTTGCTGAAAGGCAGGTTACACCACTTTTCACACACCTTTTAACAGATTATAGAGCAAAGCACTCCTCTTTGGGTGTTCCGATTTAAATTCTCAGAGGGGGGTCAACCTCTGCTTTATAACAGATTGGTGGCTCATGTCTGGGATTTGAACGGATTTGAATGGATCTGGATGGATTTGGACAGATTTAGCGTATGAAAGGTCCCAGCAGATTTAAACAGACTTGGGGACTCGTGTCCTAGATCCTTCAAACAAAAGCTTGAGTGTGAAGTGGAAAATCTGTTTAATTTCAGTTGTTTGTTGTTGGTTAAATCAAAAGTGGGGAAATGGCTCTTAACGTTGCTAAAGAGGTTCTGGAGGTTGAAGATGCTTCCCAAATTTATCAAGAAAGTTTAGAAAGACAGAAAAAGGAAACACTTTTAGAATTAGCAGACAGGCTAGAATTGTGTTTAACTAGGGATAAGAAGAAAGCTAGAATCTTAATAGAGTTAGTCAAGCATTTAGGTATACCAGAGAAACTGTCAAGTGCAGTGGAGTTAGAAAAATTTAAATTGCAAGTAAAACAATTGGAGTTAGAAGAGCCAGGGCAGAAGATAAAGAAAAGGAGAGAGAAGAAAAGGGGGAAAGAGAGAGAGGTCGAACTTCAGAAGTTGAGAACTATGGAGGAAAGTCACCGTAACAGGATGGAGATCCAAGTAGGTAGGCTTAATGAGGAGGATAGTGATGATGAGCAAACCCACCATAGCCAAAGGCCTGGTGGGGATATATACAAATACGTAAAAACATTACCAAAATTTGATGGAACAGATGTAGAATCCTTTTTCATTTCCTTTGAGAAATTGGCTAAACAAATGAACTGGCCACAGACTGTGTGGGTAATGTTAATTTAGACCAAGTTGGTAGGCAGGGCTAGTGAGATATTTGTAGCGCTGTCACAGGAGGTGTCAGGAGACTATGAAGAAATAAAACAGGCTATTTTGAGTGCATACGAATTGGTACCAGAAGCATATAGACAATGATTCAGAAATACAAGAAAGGAACCAGGTCAGACTTGTATCGAGTTTGAAAGAATTAAACAGAGCAACTTCGATAGATGGATGAGAGCGTTAAAGATAGAAAAGACATATGAGGATCTTAGAGATATTATTCTGCTGGAGGAGTTTTATAAACTCACTTCCAGAAATGATAAGAACTCATATTGAGGAACAGAAAGTTAAAACAGCGAGAAAAGCTGCAGAGATGAATACGTATTAGTGCATAAATCAAAATCTAGCTTCCAACAGCAATTTCATTCTGTGACGGATGGACATTGGGAAAGAGGGAGATCCTTCAATGAAAAACAAAAAGTAGATCACACTGGATAAAGCCATTGTGTTCTGTATTAGCCAACCCCACTCTTAAGCTAACTGCTCTTTCTGGGAAGGTTGATGGAATTGCATCATCTCTGAAGTGCAGTAGAGCATCACCTTTGAAATTTCATATTGAATCTGTTTTAATACCTTGGTTGTAAGTCCTGGACTGACTTAATGCAAATATTCCTGCCCGTTACTGCCACAGCTGGTGTCTTGGTGATCTCGTGAAAAATCACAACGTTGAACTCCCCACACACCAGTAAATTGCTGGTCTGCTCGTGTCAACAGGTAAAATACACGTGGTTTCTATAGAGAATTGATATAGCTTCATTTCGTCATGAGATGAATGTATTTTGAATGTACCAAAGATGCATGTCCCAGTTAATTTTGCTGCTAT